GCAATAGCACTAGAATGGAAACCACCTAAATGTCCATCATCAGGAAAATGGATCAAGAAATTATGGTATATACACATGATGGAATTTTATTTAGCAATGAGAATGAACAATCCAATGTATATGCAACAGCTCTGAAGTATCTTATAAACAATGTTGAATGAATAATGCTAGACACTTAAAAGTATATATATGATTCTACTTATATAAAGTTCAAAAACAGGAAAACCTAATTGATACGGGTAAAATTCAAGGTCGTGGTTATCTTTGGGGATGGGAATCATGACTAGTAGAGGACTTGAAGAGATGGTGTTTCAGGTACAGTAATTTTATTTCTTCATTTGGGTGGTACTTACATGAGCTGTTCCCTTTGTGAAAATTCGCCAAGCTGAACACTTAGGATGTGTGTGCTTTTCTGTGGGAATGTTAAACTTTAATATAAAATGTACTTAAAAACTCAGTAACTACATATAATTGACAACATTCAAAATGCCAACAACATTAAAATGTCTAAGGATGAATATCTTGGCATTGAGATCCATGAAGTAATTCTAAAGTCTCAGGTTTTAGTAACTGAAAAACTGGACTCACTTCAAGTTCATGACCATAAATCTCAGAAGGCTCTCAACACAGCCAGATAATCTCATTCTACTTCCTTGCTGCAGCCAGGTTCCCTCCCTGAGACAACTTATTAATACCGTCCCTTTTCTCCTCACATTGCCAACACTCTCTCAGTTGATTGACCTCACCACGTACTTCCCAGAGAAAAGTCAATGTAATTATAGAAGAACACCCCATCTTACCTCTGTCTGCCCACCTGCCCCTCTGCCTACATCCTCTGACTTTTCTCCAGGTCCCAGGGAAGAAATGGTGCTCTCATCTCATCCCCTCCCGGCTTTTCAAGGACTTCCACAATGTGCTGTCCCCCAGAATCATCAATTGCCTTCTCCCCTTGGAATCCAAACATGCCTAAACTATCGATACCTTTTAAGAACATCCTCCCTGATACCGTATTACCCTTCAGCCACTGTTCCATCTCTCCACTCTCCTGCAGAGCAAAACTCCCGATGACTTGTCTGTAGCTGCTATTTCCTCTTCTACCCCTCTGATTTGGCATTCATCTCCACCCCTGCACCTCTCAAGGCCACTCATTAATTACAGGGGACCAAATTCAATGGTCTCTTCTCAATGCTCATCTTACTCTCAGGAGCATTTGACCAAGTTGACTTCTCCCCCATTCTTGAAACATCTTGTCCTGTTTTCCATCCTACCACACTGTCCTGATTTTCTTCCCAGCTTTTCAGCTATCATTTCTCAGCCTTCTTCCTCCCCTCTGAAACTTTCCAAGTTGGATTGCCCTAAGCTAGGTCCTTCCCCTTTCTCTGTACTCTCGTCACTGTTCCTAGTTCCAAGGCTTCATATATCACCTCCACCCTTAGGTCTCACATGTACACCTCCAGCCTGGACTTCTGAGCTCTCAATTCACACATCAAAGTGTGTAAGAAGACATAGGAGCAGCACCTGAGGCTCAGTGAGTAGGGTGCTGGCCCCATATACCAAGGGTGATGAGTTCAAACCAGGCCCCAGCCAAACTGCAACAAAAAAATAGCCAGGCGTTGTGGTGGGTGCCTGTAATCCCGGCTACTCAGGAGGCTGAGGCAAGAGAATTGCCTAAACCTAAGAGCTGGAGGTTGCTGTGAGCTGTGACGGCCCTTGCCACAAAGTGAAACTCTGTCTCTAAAAAGAAAAAAAGAGAGAAAAAAGAAGACACATCAGGCATCTCAAACTTAACATGGTTCAAATAGAAAATGATTGATTCCAGTCCCTGCACAATAAAATATCCACTCTCCACTAGCTTCCTCCATTTTTGTAAATGGTACTACCTTCTGAAAGTTATTTAAGCTCCCAAATTAGGAATCATCCTTAATTATTTTTTCTCTTGCCCTATACCCAATCCAATCAGTAAGTCCTGTCAACTCTATTTCCAAAATGAATTCAGAATCTAACTACTTTTCACTATCTCCATAGCTACCTCCCTAGTCCTAGCCACCATCACCAGTCACACCAGTCTAACTGGTCTACCAGCCCCCCCCCCCAGACTTGCCTCCAGAATGATCTTGTGAAAATGTATGTCAATCATGTTGCCCTGCAAAAGCCCCCCAACATATCTCAGGGTGAACAGGAAGCATCTGCCAGAGGATAAAACAGCAAGCAGACAGCACAGGAAATGGTGATCTGGGTGAGGAGGACATACAGGAGTTTGAGGTACCCAGACACCATCAGAGTGGGAGAAAAAAGAACAAGGTTGACTTTTAGGCTTCTTCTAACCTTTGAAACTCCCCTAGGCCTGAGCAATACTAAAGGGAGATACATAATGTAGGTGGTGTCACTGGTGCCCCACCAGAAGTCCCTTTGCCCACCCCCCGGAGAATTCCTGAAGACATTCCTTCCTGTGCACACCACAGGCATTTGCATCCTTCTACCTGGCCCTGGGAACATGCTGGTGCCACACACGAGGCAGGCCCCAGAAGCTAGAGCATTCATGCTCCAGGTGCTACCTTCCACCACTAAGGGTCGAAGCAGGTGTGCAAATACTCCACCTTCCTTACTCCTCAGTGGAATACATTGGAGGTGTGTACTCAGAGGGTGGCCAGCTGAATTGAACTCCAGTTTCCCACAGTGGTAACCAGCTCACACGTGTATCAGCTTTCTGCCCTTCCCTGATTCACTTTCCCACTCCCTCCCTGTGCTTCCAGGGATCCCCTCCCAAATAATGTTCTTGCATCAAAATCCTGATCTCGGCTTCTTCGTTCTAGGAAATCCACATCAAGACACATAGTATTGTGGGGTTTATTCCTCAATGGTGATACCTTTCATGGCAAACAAGAACAATGCCATCCTAAATTTAAATGGGCAAGAGAAAAGTGAGATCTGGACACAGTGTGGAGGCATTTTAGAAAAATTTAAAAATACTAGATTTAAGTCTATCCCTTGGTATTATATGTGTTAGCCCCATCTTTATTCACTATAGCTGTGTATAAACATAGTATATATTCATCAACTATATGCATACACTCAAGATCCTCTCTTATCTCCATTTACTGTTAGTCTGTACTCCAAACAGTTATTAGTAAAAGGACTTGAAAGGACTATGATAAATTCTTAATACATAACTGTCTACTTCTGCCTCTAAAGAAAAGAGAGGATACTTTCTGGTTTTGCACCAAGTTTCACTTGCGTGAAATCTAACTTAAGGAGAGGTGTGGGTGAGTGTCATCTCTCTCTCTCTCTCTCACACACACACACACACACACACACACACGGGAAGCGTATGCACCACACCGCATGCACCACTCAACAGTCTGAAAAACTTCCCTCCAGTTCTTTTGAAGTGAAATCACCACTCCCCCCCAACTTCACTCCCCAGATATCAGCGATGTTGAAAGTGAAGGGCCTGTCCCCGCTGTGTGGTTTGGGGTAAAAAGGAGGCAGGATTAAAGCGCTCATTTCAAGTCCCAAAAGTAAAATACGACTTGGCCTAAGGCAATCCTAATTCTTTCCAGAACTCATTCTCAGAATTGCCCTTTTAAACAACCAGTCATTAACCCAACTCCGGGTCTTTTATAGCTGCGAAAACCGATAGCGCACATCATTTATTCATTACGCTTATTATTATTGTTATTGCAGAAAAGCAGCGAATTCCCGGGGCGGAGTTCAAAGGAGTTTTTCTTTGGGGGGGAGGGACACGCCGGCTGGCAGGGACCGCTAGGAGGCTGGGCTGGGCTGTGCGGCAGAGGTGCCCGGAAATCCCCAGGGAAGGATGCCGCGAAAGCGCCTCCGCCCCGCGCGCTCCCCGGCCACTGCGCACCGGCGCAGCTGCTGCAGCAACTGAGGAAGCTTCTTACGTAAGTCAGAGCCGCTGACATCACCATCGCCGCGAGCGTTGCAGCGGACTAGGCACCAAAGGACTGGCGCGCCAGCCCAGCGCCAGGTCTACCTCCCAGGTCGTTCCTAAATGATTCCACCCTTGCTAGATTCCGGCGACCTTGTGCCAGGGGACGGCCCTGCGTGCCCCTCGAAGGGAAGATGACACTGAAAGACTACTGGGAGCCCTGGGGTGTCGCAAGAGTAAAGTCAGTGGACAGCAAAGATGCCCAGGGATCTCCCAGACCTTCTTCGCCTCTCCCCACAGCCTGCCTGGCTGGACTAGTTCATACCTAAGTCCACACGCCTGTAGATTTGGGCGACAATGCACCGAGTGGGGGCACCCTGTGAGATCCCCGGAGGGGAGATGGCACAGAGCCATTTAGTAGGACCCCTGGGCTGCTCGGGGCAGAAAAGATGTCCAGGGGTCTAGTCCATCTCCTAAGTGTCCCAGACACTGGCCCCTCTCCACCTATACTGGTATCTCCCCGAGGCCCCTCCAGACCACAGGGGTTTTCAGCGGAGCGCAACGGAGTTTGCTCCAGGAGGCGAGCGGCACCACACTACATCGCACACCAGCGCAAGGCACAAGTTCGGGGCTCAGCGCAGCCCTTAAGGTCACAGTGAGAGTGACAAAACCGCCGTGGTGCTGCAGCAGCCCTGAAAGGACCTGGTACCCCTCTAACTCCACACCTGAGCACGCATTGTGGGCTATAGGGCTCAGTGCAGGGCTGCTGGAAACCACAGGAGTTGCAACACCTCCTCCCCAAAGGACCTTAAAGGTGAGCCCAGGAGGTGAAGGACAGATCCTCTCCGCCTCCTGCACTCCCTTTCTGCTCCCTCTCAGCTCACGCTGTCCGCCCTTTTAACTTTCATTACTGAATCCGGGTCTTGCCCAGCCGCTTGGCCCCAGGAGGAATGGGATGGGTCCCAGGGCAAGGGAGGGGTGGAAAGGCGAGAGTAAGGTGCAAGCCGCAACGGGCGCGGCGCCGCGGGGCTGGAATTGCAGCGACCGGGGAGGGCGCGAGGGTGCGGCGCTGGAACTGAGCGCCGGGTGGACAGACGGCGCGGGTACTCACGCACTGCCTCCTGCTTGGGGTCCAGCGTGCCGAGGACGCGCTGCACGCCGCCGAGCTTGCCCTGCAGCGCCCAGACGCGGCGGTGGGTGAGCTGGATGTCGCTCTCGAGCTCCTGGAAGAGGCTGCACGCGTGCCGGGCCACGTCCGAAAGCTGCCGGAGGACGCGGGCCAGCGCTGCGTTGCTGACCGCGCACAGGTCCAGCATGAGCAGCACGGCCGCGGCCGCTGCCGAGGACGCCTCTCCAGTGGCGGACGCCGCCTCCGGGACCCCCGCCGCGCTCTCCTCGCCTGCCACTGGTGCCTCTCCGTGTGGCGGCTGAGCCGGGTCGGCCGGCGCGGGCAACGGCGGCGGCGGTGGCAGCCCGGGAGGTGCGGGGGGCGCGTGGGCTGGCTCTTCTGGCCCCGGCACCTCGGCCTCGTCGGGCCGGCCGGGTGGCTGAAGGGGCGGCGGCGGTTCAACGCTGCCTCCGCTCGCGTCCACAGCTGGGCCGGGCGCCGGGCGCCGCTGCCGGCACAGCCACTGCGGCTCCACGATCCGCTTGGCGAAAGGCATCCCGCGCAGCCGGGCCGCGACTTTCTGGTCTCCTCCGAGCGCCCCTAGTGAACCCGAGACCGGGCGCGCCCACCTGAGCAGGGAGGAGGCAGGAGTGGGGCAAAGGCGCGATCGGGCAGTCAGGATACGCAGGGGGTTCCTCTGTTCACCTGGTCTCCTCCTCTTCCCCGCCCTCTCCCTAGCAAATCAGTCCTGCCGGGCCTCCTCTGGGTGCACCGTTCCCTGGAGAGGATGACAAGCACCGGGCACAGAAATCCCGGGGTGCGCCTGGACTGTCCTCACTTGCTTCCAACCGGGGTCGACTGGCTCAGCTCCATCGTTCCTGCGCTTGCCGCCGCCACCCCGGCCACTGCCGTTGCCGCCGCCTATATAAATGGGCGTGTGTGTGTGTGTGTGTGTGTGTGTGTGTGTGTGTATGGGTGGGTGGGTGTGAGTGTGTGCGCGCGGCTCAGTTTGAAAGTACCCCGGCGCAGGCCTCTCCCCGCGCGCCCCTCGGCCGCTCCGGGGAGCGATTGCGCCCGGGATCTCTCTCCCTCTCTGGGCGGGGAGGAGGTTTCGGAGAGGCGCTCTGAAAACCCGGAGAGAGGAATCCGCCTCCAGCCACGGCGCAGGAGGCCGCGCGGGGGCGGCGGGGCGGACGCAGGGCGGGGGAGACCGGGGCGAGGGGGCCGCAGCGCCCTGTGCGGCCGCTGGGAGTCAGTGGTGGCCTCGCCGCGCCGGGCGCGTTCTGGCGCTAACATACTTCCTCACGTCCAAGGACTTAGAACAAACTGAGAATGTCAGCGTGGTGGTGGTGGTGGGGAGTCCTCAAGTTGGAAGTAGGGGTGTGGGTAGTGAGCGCAAAGAGAGGAGGGTGGGGTATTGGGGATGCGGCAGATTTGGCGTGTTAGAGCAAGTTTTTCCGCTGAATTCCAGTTTTGTACAAGTCCTTTGGGTTCTTAGAGGGAGAAAACTGGGCTGCCCCTTGGAGGGCCTCGGGCTCTGACAGCGCAGTGAGACCGCCTGGGAGGGTCACTGGGTGTGGGTGGATCCCCTCAGGGCCAGAGTGGCCAGAATGCTGTTCACACCCCTTCCCAGGCATCACGTGGCCGCCTGCGCTGGCACAGCCTTTCTAGGATATCATGAATGAGATTCAAACCACCAATGAGCAAAACTCCCAGAAAACTGCTTGCAAAATTCATTGCAGGTTAGGTGAGATAACATCAGATTACTTCCTTGTCACCCCACTTTGCTGATCATACGCGGAGTTTTGAAAGTTCTCCATTGGAGAGATGATGATTCACAAAAGAATGGAAAGTTTTCCCCTTCAGTTGACTGAAAGGTATAATTTCTTAAAAGGCATACATTTTCTATTGCAGCAGTCTGCAAGCTGGATGCTGTCAGCCTAAAACCTAAAAAGAGTTTGAGAAATGTTAATAAAACACATGCTTTCATCCCTCCAAAAAGTATACTGTAAAAATATTTTTTATTTTAAAGCCACAAGCCAGATCTTGGGAATGCAGCCCTCATTTCATGTTTCTAAAGAGAACATGGAAAAAATATGTTTTATGGCAACAATAAAGTCTTCCAGACCTGCAGTGGTGTCTCCTCTCCTCTCTCACTTGCCTTCAGTGCGAGAGGCAGCCAGGCCCAACCGTCAGCACTTTGGACTGGCCCACACTTTGGTTATAAAGTTTTCAACAGACTTTTGTCATAGTCTACCTAAAAAAATAACATTTTGGCAGGGAAATGTCCTTGTTCATAAAGATCCAGATTGTGGCTTTGGGGGTAAAGGGTCATGATGTCTGCAAGGTACACATAAATGATTCAGTAACAACAAGAAGAATGATGACAATAATAATAATATGTGTGTGTGTGTATAAAGAGAGAGAACAAAGAAAATAAGGCAAAATGTTCAAAATAATGAGTCTCCGTAAAAGCCATATTGTGGTTCATTGCCCATTTCTTGTGACTTCCACTTTAGTTTTGTTTCCAAATAAAAATGAAAAAAAGAGACCTTTGGAACAAGGTCTTTTAAGATGTCTTCTTTAGCTCACAAGTCTGAGAATCGTAAAGGTAGCTATTTTAAAGTTTAGCTTGATTTTTGAATATGTTCAAAGTTCTGAACGCGAGTACTGCTAGGTAGGCGTGCAGAAACTCCTCCCAGAACACATGGAAGCAGAACAATGAGGGGTATTAAAGGCGTCCGGTTAATAAGCCTTGCGGCCACAGTCTGCTGCATTCCCTCTCACCCAGCGCTGTCCTATCAATAGTATTCAAGGGCACCAGGGGAGCAGGCCCAGTGGAAAAGTTGACTTGGGCCATCACTGAGTGGTATGTGGCTCTCACTCCTAAAGGGAGTTTGAGACTAGTGATGAGTTCCTTCCAGGGCCCTGAGAGAGGTGATCTGAAGGGGAGGGCAAAGGGCCAGCAGAGGGAGGCACCCAGGGAGTAATTAAGCTTAAGAACAGTCTGGCTACCTTAGTATCTGCCCCAAAGTGGTCAGCTCAGACTCAAGTCACGATTTCAGAATGATTCAAAGCACAGTTCAAGGATGCAAAAAGGAGTGCTCTCTTTGTAATCGCTTGCACTCCTTTGTGTGTGCTAATAAAGCCATCGGCTTAAAAATAAAGAGCTTTGATTTTGTCTTTTGATCTCCTTCTTTCTCACTGTCCCTTCCCCTTCCTCTGGTCCCCAGGGACCTTCCCAAGGACACTTTTAGTTTTTTTATCCGGGGGTCTTTGAAAGACAGATTTCTTCAAAGTCCCCCCAAATAAAACTAATACAAATGATCATCTTCATGGATATGGCAGGTTGATGTCGTCTCACGCCTCTGCACGGTGTGAATAAAGACATCTTCAGAAAACTGATTGTTAAACATTAGTAACACCATCTAAGTAAAAACTCTAATAGCTTTGAGAGGGCAGCTTCAGGACAGCCTGATGGCCTTACCCTACCCCTTCCCTCCTCAAGCCCTTCCTACGTGGTTTACCTCCCTGCCCACCCCGACACACACACACATACTTTTTAGCTTTTGGTTTCTACTTTATAGAACTAAAATCCTGAAATCAAAAAAAGAGCATCAACCACATATAATCCTGATTGAATAGATAAGTGGTCTTAATGCTGATGGGTTTTCAACACCCCCAGGAGCTCTGTGTCTCTCTTATTCAATTCTGGAGTGCACCGTTTTACCCTGTGTTTTCTCCCAGAAAGTTCTGAAGTCAAAGTTGCCATCCGAAGCCAGATTGTTATACCAGGTCTGTCTGTCGATCTCTCCTAATCACAGTCCCCCACCACCCATGTACACATGTTCTCTTACCCTGTACTTGTAGCCAAGATGAAAGGGAAAGGTAGCATTTCAAAATGACCCCGTTGCTTAATTCCCAGTAGTCTTTTGTGCAGCTCAAAGGCCAGGCCAACACAATTTCCCCATAAACTCAAATGTCGGGTCAGTATAAACCTCATGCCATTGTAAAAAGAATGAAATATCCTGGCTGTGTCACCACGCCCCACAGTTAGACTCCTGCCTGCTCCAGCCCTTCGGCTTTGCTGAACTCTAAGATTGGCCTCTGCCCTTAGCCTGACTGTCCTCAGGCCTCCACAGAACCAGAGTCAAGTTTCCTCTAGAACCTCATCAGCCACACAGATTCCTAAATGACTCCTCGCCAAACATGTCCTGATTCAAACATTTCAGCATTATTTATACTTGAAAAATATGTCTAAGTAATGCTAGGATATATGCAGGTTGGTACCATCATTAAATTATAGCGACTGAAGTCTCCCTCTAGCCGATTGAACCCATTCCTTGTTTAATCACTTTAATTCACTCTTAAAGGCCCTGCCACTACTTAAAAAGCTGTTAATTTTCTTTTTAATTTCCATTAATTTTATTGGGAAAATGATGAGCATTCTATCCCAACCTGTTACCTAAAACCATTTACATAAGTAAAATCCAACAATTTGAAAATAAATGAATATGGTTTGTGCATAAAATGTACGTTGCACTATCTTGTGAAGGAGAAAGATCACATTTGAGAGTGGGTGGTGGCAGAGGGAGGGGTTGTCATTCTTACGAAATTGTTGGGAAGTCATGAGGTTCACGCTGAAGCCGAAAACTTTTTGGAGCTCACAGTCATCCTATACTTAAACTGCACTCACAAATAAAGTTATAGTACCCAAAACACCTTCAGGGAACAATAAAGGCTTAAGATGAGAGAGTCTTATGGCATAGCAGACTGAGAGGTCACAGAAGATGTTATTCACCCCTGTCACCCCCGCATCAGGAGGTGACCACCTTCAAGCTCTCTAAAAAGTGTCTCCCAAATTTAATGCCAGTGGTTGAGCTCGGAGAATCACCAACTCCCTCGTTCCTTCAGCTTTGCTAATTCATGGGAAGAAGCCAGCCGCCCACAATTGCGTGGCATCTTCAGAGAGGGAGCACACACTCTACCGTATACGTGATTCATGGCATAAACGTGGTACCCAGTGCTGTCCTAGCTTAGTTTTGGAAACTCTTCAAGTCCAAGGCATTCCAGTTCAAGAACCCTGAATTTGGTTTTGTGTACTGGTGTTCCCAGGAAACACTGGGGGGAAAAACATTTATTAACATGTCAAAATATGAAGCCATTGTACTCCTAAATATATTTACACGGATGTTGATAACTACATGTGTATAGTTTCCAGGGAACAAAAGACCATATACCACTACTGAAGGTTTCCCTTGGTTACTCTGTGCTTTCTTCCTCAATAATTTTCATCTAGTCTACCAAGGATGAAGGACAGGAGTTTCTCTCTGCATTATACCGACGGGAAAACATGGATAGAAAAAAAAAAATAATGCTATTAAATGGTTTTCCCAAAATTCCAGACTGCGAATCCGAAGACTATTCCAACCAGCCTTTTTATCTTCCCATGCAAAGAACTGTTGATTACTCACATTGTTTCCAGTGGGAGAAATTCTTTTCGCTAATCTTCAAAAATCCTAGCCTCACATTTTACAACTGAATATAATTTTAAACATGCCAAATCTGGATCGAGTCAGAACTGCAAATACATAATTCAAAATAACTGACAGAGT